GTCACAGAGTAGCACAAAAAAACCTACACACTCAACATCCCCGGAGTCGTTATTATTTTCGTCTTCATCCGCGACAAATGTAACGAAATTGGGTGAGGCCAACACGTCTGATCGCCACCAGGTTCATATTGTGTACACGTTTGATGACTTCCTGATAGGATATGCTTTCAACTCTCTTAATTTGCATTAAATCACTGCCCACCTGCTTCATCAACCATCCTATACCGATGGGTTTGATTCAATTCACGCATAGCACACACTCAGTCACAGTTTAAGATAATTGGAAACGTGTTAGTACAAGAACCGGTCTCTTTACTGCTTTGGGTTGCACCACGCTTGTACCGTTCGGGGTATCCTCCGAAATGCATATTTTTAACCTTCATTAACCCTTCCTTTCGGCGGTTCAAGATACCAGAAACAAAGTATTAAATGTGTTCTACAGTTTTAGTGCTGAAGTTTGATAATATCATTTTGGTTGGCTCAAAAAGCAATCCTTCGGTGCATGAAGCTTACTTTGACTTGAATTGAATTAAAAGTTCGTGATTAATTAGTGGCACGCCACGAAGGCTCAGAAGTGGATCCCAGTCCAATGACCGAAATACGCAAAGAAGTATTACTTTTATTGAACACGTTGATATCACTCTGAACACGAGTTAGTCTGCGACAGGGTCCTTGTATGCAACGATTACCCTCACAAATGGATGATATCTTCGTGATTAGATGTCAAAAGTGTTATGGCCTGCTCAACCTACTGCCTTCCAAAATATACTAACTCTAAAACTAATGGAAGTCCAAATGAGTTCTCTAGATCGATATCAGACTCGAACCCAACCCGCGATTCAGCATGCATGTGTTGCCACTTTAGGGTTGCAAAACGATGGATACTTGTTGCATTCACTTGACACTCCTCCGGTCGATACATCGAGGCATGAATAAATACCTCCTGGTATAACGTATGCAGATGCAGTGTCTTTGTGAAGAGATCGCGAATTTGTGTATATATTATTTTAACTAACTATGCTTTACTGCTGAAAATCAGTCTCGTAAAGTTATCACAGAAAATCACTTTCACAAAGTATCTAAAAATTAACATGGATAATACCTGGATATAATTAAAAATTCTGATCAAAAATTCAATATACTCAGCATCAAGGTATGAATGATCTTGCTTCGAGGAAAAATAGAGACGACAATTTAAGAAATACTGATTTTCCCATTGTATATATGACTTTTCTAAGGACATACATGCGACTACTTTTATTTCTTCTGTCAGCCTTTTTATAGTCGATCTTTTATTCGAATATTTCGGTTGTCTGGATTTTTTCCCAATTCAGTCGCAACTAAAATGTGTTTTATTAGGATTGCAATGGAATGAAGATTGAAAAAATTTCACCTCACAAAATTAAGCTCCGTACTCATTCTTTAAAACCTTAATTCAAGTCTCCAGTGATGAACTTCCACTGATTACGTTTCAAATACACCAAAATCGACGGATCTGTTGTCCGTACCGACATGAATGTACTAAATTCTTTGGCACTTTGGGATCGTCCGCGGCTGCTGTATGTTGCAGGGTCTTTGCCGTTACAGGAAAAGAATAGAGGTAAACTATCGGAGCTTGAACACCATGCCACATTGCACTAATCCGAAAGAGCAACCGGAGAACTATTGTCCAGGTCGGGAACAGAGCATCAGACAATTGGGATCGCCCACTGAAGCTTGTGCCAAGCCTCTATCGTCTACATAGGCTGAGGCATGTGGCTCGCACGTCACCTTTCTCGACCTTGGGATGTTTGCCATTTTAGGCTGTCTGGTTGGGACCTGGGGATCCATGTAGTTAAGGATTATAAGCACCAATTGACATAATTAAATATGGTAAACAAAGTGGCTTGTATAATTACTCAACCTCTTTGAAACCTTAGTCCTGCAGTCCGTGTTAGGCTCCCTGGATGGGGACCTCGGGATCATTGTAATTAATAGTCACAGACACTGAGTGATATGACTGAGTGTCATGAACAGTGGTGCTTGTGCATCTTAACTTCCTTGCAATCTTTGTCTACTGAAATTCTCCATTTTCTCTTCGATTATGCTTTCAATTTTCCTGTTTTTCTCCTGCTGCTTCAAAGAAATAGGCAACCAAGAGACAGCAACCGAAATCGGCGCACAATAATGCATGACTAATGGTTGTACAAACTGAAACTAGTCTATCTGAACTCTCTATCTTCACATTTATACTGCTTCCAGTAATCCAATTTTACTTTCTACTTGTTCATCTAAGTCAAAAGGCCAAAAGCATCATCCAAAACCGCCTCTTCGTTCGCGACAGCGAAATGCTAATGCATATGAATGAATGGATAAGGAGAAAAAATTATTACAATGGAAATTAATTAACTTTATAAGTGGCTAAGTTTCATGTGAATTGTATTAAGTTATTGGTATGCAACTGGCTAGTTGCTTTACAGTTTGACGTATTTGAACTTTCAGTAGCGAATTTTGTGTTTTATAGAGACTTTTCATATTCAAAAATCCAAAATGAATACACCTACTTGGGCAGAATCAACATCGTTATTTACCCACTTTGTTCTCACGTCTTAAATGATGAAACCCGTGTTTGTTCCTATCTGATTAATGTTCAATGTTCTTCAGTTAGAGGCAGAGGGTAATTTCCCGTATGAGCCTCATCACCAAAGACTCGAAGATCTCATTCATGATAAAAATTCATGATTAAAAAATGTAATAATTTTGTGCACCCCGTTTATACCTTTTTGACAGAACTTTTCATAGAAAACAAATCATCTTCTCCAACACTCTGTTTCGGTGTATCTGTTACCATCCAAACGAGTGGCAAGTGATCACATCTGGAACCGATCGAAAAATTGGCTACTGGGAGGTCTACGACGGATCGTTGATTCGTCAACTAGAAGGTTCTCGTTCCGGGTCAATCAACGGGATGGACATTACCAAAGACGGAAATACTTTTGTCACAGGCGGTGACGACAAACTCGTAAAGGTAATGGATACATACTGGTCAGCGTCAAAAATTGTAAATTTTATTGTCTTTTTTTTTGTTTCACTGTATTCATAGAATTAAATAAACAGTCGATTGATGCCATTTTTCGAATGACGAATTCAAAATGTGCACCGGAGCCGTGTATCGATCGATTCCGATTTTTTGTTTGTCACTTGGTTGATTTTTAGTTCTGACCTGACCAANNNAAAAGATCAATAAAGTGCAATTCATATTCCAAGAATATACATCGGATCGAATCGATCACTGCTGTTGTGTCGATTTTCTCTCCGCTCTTTTTCCTTTCTGGTTCTTGAATATATAAGCACGTGATAGTGCGGTTATGGGAAATACTCTAAGCAATGGATAATTTGGGATTGATGTATAAATAACGCATATATGATAAAGTTTGTCATCATTAAAATGAAATGCACACATCGTTTCCACGGTAGTCATTCGATAACAACAAAATTGATACTTCCATTGGAAATACTTAGTGAACAAAAAAATGCATCAGTCCCTTGAAAGAATCCACCATGGCTTGATCGATCGTGATTTTCCANCCAGATAACGGTTTACACGGGACTACGGTACCCGCATAATCGTGACCGTGATGTTTACACCCAAATGGTGATTGATAAGACAGGAATTATGCAGGTTAGAAAAGTGATTCCGCAAAGGCAGCACTCGCCGATTCTAAATTAAACCATATTCAACATACTGTGCATCGATTTCAGATATTCATATTCACTAGGTAATTTTGTTGTCGAAAAATACTCTCACGCTTGACTGCAAATCATCAAACTGAATTGCAAATTCATTCACGTTCCATATTCCTCAGTGACAAAATATCTATTTATCGTTCCACGTTTTCCTATAAATGTTTCCTATAAGCGTTATTCACCTGAAGTTCTCGGCATAATGAAATAAAACGTAGAGGCTATGAGGCTTAGTACGGGTCATTTTTTATTTCGGAATTGTTACCGAAATTCGAACAGGAAGCTCTCGAGCTGGGGTTTCGGTTTCCGTATAAAGTTTGCCCATTAGCCTTTTCTGAACAGTATCTCAGGCATTCGTTATAAGACGATATCACCTGCGAGTTTCAAACACACTTTGGACGGGGACCGGTCAAATTCGTATAATATACTTAGTTTAGTCGGCTTCTAGAATTCTCGTGTTTTAGTTTCAGCTACTAAACTTCTAAGATAAACATAATGTCAAAATTCGTTATATAATAGTTGGATTCATCAGAGTGAGAATCTTTTCAAGTCAACTACCAAACGCACAATGTGCTTCTTGCAGCTCACTCGAAACGCCGCGGCGAACCATCTCAGTTGTTTTGGATGTATTCTTGCTGAGATCAACCAAAACATTTCAAATGCGCTGAGACAAACCAAAAAATTCATTCAACAACATCTAAATTCCGTTTTTCAAGTTATCACTTCAAAATTTTCAATCGTGTTCGTTGACTGTGCTCGTGTTGTTATAAATTTGGGAATACGCATGTCCAGATCTAGACAGCTTTCGTAATCGGTTCAGTAGCAAGGTTTTCGCTTTAAGTATTCTGAATGGACCACGTGGATGGCCGAGAAAATTACGTGGTGTGTCCGAGTGACTTGGCAAACAGGCCGTAGATCTGTTTGCTTTTCTTGCATTCGACCTTTGCATCCCAATACCATTTTCTGGATCTTTTTCTCTCCTACACTTTTCAATATACCCGTCAGGTAGTTGATGGGTGATGATTGGCACAGCACCATGGCAAATGGTTGTATTAAAAGAATCCGAAATCTATTTAAGGTTTGTCGTGGTTTGGTCTTCGACCGCGTTTTCGCACCTCTTTATGCACTGGGTCTGAAATAGGTCACAACAAGTTTGAAACTTTGTTTTTTTTATCGTATTGGAATGGTGCGATTTGCACTCCGCGTGGATAGACAGCTTTTCACGTGTGGAACACAGATCAGTCTGAAAAGAATTGTTTGTGCCTTGTCGAGCTAAAATCTATAACCCCAAATACTTGCTGTCGTCCGCGTATGTCTCAGATACTAGCACGCGTCATTCAATATGCGTTGATGGTGTCTGCACCAACTAGTCTCATATCGCTCATCAATTTCGAACAGATGAACTGTTCCCAATACAGTCACCACCTTTCTCATGAGAAGACGTTTTCCTACAAATTCAATCAAATAAGCACACTGTATTCTAAATATCTCAAATGGTCAGTTTATAAACTCCAATCAGTATACCTTCAGATTGTCTGAAGACGGTCACGTGGTGATCGGATATTTAATTGTTCACAAACAAATAGCATTTGGTCCGCAAAGGTGGTGAATTATTTTACAAAATCCAAATCTTTCGAGATTTTGAGTAGTTTGTGTTGGGTTCACCATATTCTATGGAATCCCATATCATCAGTCTTATTAGATCTCATTCAACGGTTTTTCTTACGACGTTATATCACCTGATGATGAAATGTTCACAAGTTATTTTCATTATTACCGACAAAGCTCTCCTATCCTGGGATTTGTTTGCAGTAATGTATTCAAATTGTAAATTCAAACAAGTCTTTATTTAATTAAAGGTATGGTCTTTTGTATTGCGATGTGCAAATAGACATTTTTCACAAAATTGACTGAGATTTTTTAAAATGATTCTCTGTTATTTCATAGACGCCTTAATCGTAAGTGCATGATTTCTGTCTCTCCATCTATTTATCAATGTCACTCAATGAGAGTGAAACAATGTTTCAACCTCACCACATCAGACTGCCTTAGATCGGACATAAACATATGTGAACATTGTCTTATGAGATCATCTTGATCGCAATGATAATTTCGGCTACCGGTCAGTGGTTATTGTTTTATCGTATCGCGTATCGCAATCGGTCAAACAACCACTCGAAACACGAGACGTTTCTATGATCGATTAAGTATTTCTCGGACCACGGAATGTGCATATCATTTATACATTTTCTCATTAATCCAATCGGATTTGTTTGTAGATCATAGGTTGAAAAATATCGATGGCGAATTTGAAACATCAATGCACTTGAGATTTGTAAAAGGGTTTTGATAGAGTATTGCTTATAACAACGGACTATGCAAAGTCACTGCTCAGTTACTAACTCTTGGTAAAATAGTAAAAGAAATTTGGGATGAGGAGATTAAATGAGCTACAGTGAGGCATTCCGGAAATGGACAAAGAAAAAAGATGTTCGATGAGGGTTCCATCAAATCTAAATTTCTGTTTCTCCTGTGCACAATGACAGCTTAGGATTCAGTGAAAGGCACTGAAGTGATGTTGACCATGCCAAATTTTCTCTAGTTTACGCAAAAATAATCTGTTATGTTTTTTTCACGCGTGAGGTGTTCAATTTACATTTTGTGTTAAAAAATGATTCACTCTTCTCATGGAGAACCATTGATTTTTGGCTCTTTGTGTAAGACTGAAGCGTAATCTTTGAAAACCGATAGGGACAATTTATCCGGTGCAAAGACTTAATGTTACCCATATATTCCTGATTCCAAGCCAGCCGCAATTTGTGGTGCTACGTCGGGAGCTGAGGGTCGCGGGTTCAGAGAAAATCAGAGGTAAAATCAGCGGTGTCCTAAAATGTTCAGTTTGCTGTTGCACATTGATTTACCAAAGATGAGCACTGTTTGCCAATTTCACAATCATGCTTATACTTAGTCTATGTTGAATTGATACTCTTCAGTGAACGGAAAGGATTGCGACTGCTAGTGATGGACGCAAGTTAATCTGTTTCCTTATGCTACATGATTTACCACTTCTCGACGTAATTTCTCTCTCTCTTTTGGTAGATTAAAGCATACAAGATTTATTTGTAACTTATTATCCTCTTATGAAGAATATCATCCTTTATGCGTTCATTTTATATTACCTTGTCCGGTGGACAGACAAATTTTGAAACACTCCATCTGGACGATTAGCACCATTCCGATTTTGGTGGGATCGTTAGTGCTAGCCACCAAGTGACTCGACACATGAAGCTTGGGGAGTAAGAATGTGATCATGTCTGAGAATTGCTACTTGGTAGATAAAGTAAGATCTGGTGTATGTGCGTCGAAGGAGAAGTGTGTGGTTGGATAAAATGACACCTCAGTCTAATTATTATCTTGTCCTCTGATTTCCTCATAAACTGAAATAAAATACAAGAAGGCCAATCAGGATATTGAAACGATGAAAACCAGAACTTGATGATTATGAATGTAGAACACAGCAAGCTTTGTGCATCATTGACTGCGACCCAGAAATTTTTATCTAGGAACTCAAACTGAGATCTTAACGCAGTAGTTTGAGTAACAAGGGAGTATGACATAAATCTAATTTGAAGAATTAATCGAAGGATCCCTGGAAAGGTTTATGCAAGACTATCACAACAGTTTCTATAGCAACGAAAGGGCAATTGGCGAATTCCAAATTCCCTATTTTTGCTTTATTTGCTGATTCAATTACGACACTTTAAAAAACAACCTATGGTTTCCAGTAAGAATCTATTTCCTAGAAGATTCAACAAGCAGCTCTTCAAATTGAACCTCCCAATAGAACATCGGTACAAGCTGCACAAAAATCAATTCTTTCACCCTAGCCCCTGAACCCAATTTTAAATATAAACATATATGCAGCTTAATAGAATAACACACTTCCGTTCGATCCTTATGAATTTCACGCACGAATGTGGGGTTTTACGGTTAACTGAATCGACCTCCCCGTGCTGAGCATGTTGTCACTCAAGACCTTGACACGAGGGGTCAAATCAACCAAACATTCATCGCTCGAGATCAGAACTTTAGTGCACAGATTGTTGTTTTTGCCAACTTTACCGTTCACCAAAAGTACCTGTTACCATCAAAACCACAAAATACCCATCCAGAAACTTCAACACAGTAGAAAATTTGCGTTTCGTAAATGACTACACTCAAGTAGATCAGAGTTTCCATTTTCGCATACAGAGAACAGACTTCTCACACTACCTACCTTTTTGATTGACACGAACATACAAACGAATGCCATGTGTTTACAACTGTCTCAGGTACATTGGACGAATTTTGACATACTTC